AGCGTCATTTTCTCGAGATGGACCACTACCACCACTGCCGCCAGCAACTGAGAGTAAACCATTGAGTTCTCAGAGGCCTATGGGTAATCCACCTCCATCCTTACCTCCAGCAAGAGGAGGGGCCCCACCCATCCCACCATCCCCACGGGACGACCCCTACACAAGAGGCCCTCCTAGAAACAGCCTTCCTCCTCCACCACCTCCTGGACGCTCCAGCCCACTGCCGCCACCACCTCCTGGACGCTCCAGCCCACTGCCGCCACCACCTCCTGGACGCTCCAGCCCACTGCCGCCACCACCTCCTGGACGCTCCAGCCCACTGCCGCCACCACCTCCTGGACGCTCCAGCCCACTGCCGCCACCACCTCCTGGACGCTCCAGCCCACTGCCGCCACCACCTCCTGGACGCTCCAGCCCACTGCCGCCACCACCTCCTGGACGCTCCAGCCCACTGCCGCCACCACCCAACGAGAGGCCGTCTCCATCGGGAAGAAGACCATCCGTACGGTCAGGTATGAGCAAGGTCGTTTCTGTTTTGCTGTTTATTTTTTACTGTCACAATATTAAGTTTTTTTCCAAAGTCAAATTTATTTATTAAATGTATTTTTTTTTTTTTACAAATTCATTTTTTTTATAAAGCATCTTTACAGAAAATGTTGTTAATGTGAATACTTACTGTATATATCCAACTTCATATAAAGAACTGTGCAAAAATATGCAATATAAACAATCAAGTAGTTGAGACTTGCTATATAGTATACTATGTATACTTTATATCCAACTCTGTGCAATAATATAGTTTACTTTTTGCAACATTATTTGAAATTCAACTAGTATGACTAACTAATATATATATATATATATATATAAAATATTTGATGTTAATATTGTATTTATAAAACATACATTGCTATTCAGAAGTTTGAGGTTGTTAGGATTTTTTATTTATTTATTTATTTTTTTTAAGTTGCTCATGCTCATCAAGGTTGCAGTCTTCAGTTGCTTCATATTTTTGTGGAAACCATTATACCTTTTTTTCAGGATTCAGGATAGAAAGTTCAAAAGAACAGCATTTATTTTAAACAGAAATCCTAAACATTATGCATATCTTTACTGTTGATTTTTATCAATTTAATGTGTCCTTACTGTATAAGATTATTTTCTTTAAAAAAATGTAATGACCCCAAAGTAGATATTAGTGGTAGTATGAATTGCATATGCTTTTAAAGTGTTAAAGTGTTACAATTTTCAGATAACTAAAATGCGCACTTGAAAATACCTTCAGACACACAGTTCAGATGACTGTTATGAGGTATATGAATGAGAGGAATTGTTTTATTTTGTGGACTCATCATTTTGTGACTGCTCCTTCCTTCAGGTCCTCTACCACCTCCACCCACTGGAGGAGGAGGCAGAGGAGTGTCTCCCCCCGTGCCTCCTCCTAATCGTCCCGGTGGATCAGGCAGACCCCCTCTACTCTCAGACCCTCCCAGAGTGCCCAGCTTCCCTCCACCACCCCCTGACACCATCAATGGCTACCAGTGCCCTCCACCATCTGCCACAGGTAGGACTGCCACAGGAACCTTACACCTGCTGATGAGAGAGAGGCAACCTATAGCTCAACATACAAAAGGCAGTGAGTTTAAAGCTGAAGAGTGGCATTTCTGCATCACTACCAGAGCTGCAAATAAAGTAGGTTTTCTGGGATAGCAGAAAGTATTTTTAAAAGAAAATGAAAATATACTATTGGGCAGTTTAACAAGTTTTAGCTTAAAGGAATAATTAGCACAAAAATGACAATTCTGTCATCATTTACCCACTCTCAAGTTGTTCCAAGCTTGTGTGACTTTCTTTTTTCTGTGAAATGTAAAAAACAAAAGAAGGTGATAATTTCAAAAATGTTCCTAATCGAACAGTTTTGGTTCCCATTGAAATTCATTGTATGGACAACAAATACAATGGAAGTCAATGGGCACTGAAACGGTTTGATTACCAGCAGAACATCTTCTTCTGTATTGCGCAGAAGAAAGAAAGTCAGGGTTGCAATGATGTGAGGTTGAGTAAATGATGACAGAATTGTCATTTTGGGTGAACTATCCCTTTAATGTCTGGACAGACACAGCATGATGTCGATATAAATATTGACTCAATATGGTAATGAAACGGCTATTGAAAAACTGAGTGCTAATATAATTGTTATTGATTGACTCTGTTTGGCTGCACATATTCTCTTGTATTCTTTTCCTATAGATGAGTGGGGGATGAGGTTTTCCTTCCATCCTCTGTCTGAATTACCTCCACCAGAGCCGTACGTGTCCTTCTCCAAGTCTTACCCCAGCAAAGCTGGCGGCAAAGGTGAGCACTGCAGCATTTTGTGCAGAATTGTAATAAGAATTTTTTTAAAGTTATTCTTCAGTGTGTGTTGTGCTGTCCACCCTCAATGCATTTTAGTTTTTTTTTCTGCGTTTACATAAGACATGCAATATTTTAGTGTTTTAATGTTGTAATAATCCGTTTGATCATTTCATATCTATTTGTATCTGTTTTCCAGGAATGAGAGACAGAGGAGCGCCACCCTTGCCACCAATTCCCAGATGAAATGCTTTGACATTATAGTGTGAGCTGGATTTTCATCTGCTGAATGAGACTCAGGAACTCGTTTATGAAAATATGAATGTTTTTAGCTTCTCAGTGACATTTTTTAAAAACACTTTTTCATGCTTTTTAATCCTTTGGGGGTAATTTTATATCATGGTGCAAATGTATGTCCAGATATGGCGATTAAAGTGCATTCTGTCATCATTTGAGAAAGTTTGTTTTAATCATTTATAGCATCATGTTATTCTGCACATTTCCCTAATTACAAAAATATCGAAATATTATATTTCGATTTATTAATGTCACAGACACATACAGTAGTATATCATGCCACAGACACATGTAGGTATATCATTTATGATATATTAAAGATCTTATAATCAAGGAAGTGTAGCTTCTACAGTTGTTGTGAACTTCTGCCAAACCAAGCCACTGACATTCACCACACTGCCATCTATCTCTTCAACCACACGTCTGTGTGTGACCTGGACAGTACTACTTTCTCAGTCTAGTAAAGATGCAATCTGATTGGCTGAAAGGACACACACGTTTTATCAGAACATTTGAAAAGCAAATACACTGAGCTTCTGAATTCAGCCCAGGACATTGTTTAGCAGCTTAAATGTACAGTGGGTACGGAAAGTATTCAGACCCCCTTAAATTTTTCACTCTTTGTTATATTGCAGCCATTTG